TATGGCACTGCTACAAGCTATCTATGAAAAATCAATGGTGCGAGTAATACCAAACTTTAATGAAAAAGTAATTGAAAAGTTTATTTCGGACAAAACTATAACTTTGACTATAAACAATAATGTTGAGTACATTTTTCCTCAATTTCAATAGTACTTAAAATAAAACCACCCACTTATATTTATTTTTTTTTTCAACAACTAAATTTTGCGTCCTCCCTGGTAAGTCAATAACCGCGCCATTATTCTATGGCTAGAAATTGGCCTCAATGATTTGGGATCGAGGGGAATTATCCCTCTTTATCCTGCCTCATCTCGTGTAGGCCTGGACAGCCTTCGTAGGTGGGCCCCATCCGTCGTCTACCCCGACCGCAAATGCGGCCGGTGTAGGCGCTTTGTGGGACCTCCTTTTGTCCTGGCTGGGCCCCGCCGGCTAGGGCCCTTTCTTCTGGCGCTCTTCTTGCTTCGCCGGCTCGTCTGTGTAAACCCCGGGGGTAGTGTCATGTTTATGTGTGGTATGGTTGGGTAGGGTAGTGCGGCTATGCAGCCTGGGATGCGCTTTGCTAAGGTGGCCCTTAGGCTAGCGCGNTCTTTCTGATATACATTATAACAACTCGCACTATAATAAGTATAAAAAGGACGTTCCTGTATATATCAAAACAGAACATCCCATGAATATCCAAGTAAGAGATGTATTAATCATTTTAGCTTATAGATATACGATGAATGTCTAGATTTCAAGATCAAAAATGGACAAAAAAATCGCTTCCTGTTGGTTTTCTAGGTAGCGATATTATCAAATACGATTTTATGCGTGTTGTATATGCAACCAGTAAAGCAGAATCCGTGTATTGAGATTTGTTTGTAAATATATCCCTGACTTTTTTTCTTGTTTTTGGCATCGGACCACCCATTTACTATAGCTTTTTTAAGTAAACAATTATAATCGTATTCAATTACAAAATTCAGGCATTATCTTTTGTTGTTAATTTTATGATTTATTAATCCAGCGCAAACATCAATGGTGATAGCGCGCATTATCCGCAAGCAAATGTGTTTATTAACACTTTATGTAACATAAACATTAAACAGTTCGGCATAACTTGTGGAAGAGAGAAGGTAAAATAACCAGGAGGAAGGTAAGCCAAATCGCTGTGTAATTAAAATTTAAAACACCATACTTACAGATATACCTAACTTTATATTATTGGTAAAAGTTAAATATATTTAATAGTTTTTGCTTATAGAACAATTATTTATAGTATAAACTTAAGGATGGTAATATTCGTACGGTTCTAAGCCAAGGTTCTAAAACACAATTAAGCCGGACTTGCGTATTACAATATCGGATTTAATGCTCAGATCAAAAAGTCGTATTCATTTTAATCCTCTTGATCCGTTTGTCATATTTAATACAACACAAATTATTTTACTTTTCGCATGTGATGTGGACAGTTATAAACACGTATTTAACGACTATTTAATTTTTATTACTATTAAGGATAACAACATTAATTATATTTTCACTTTTTTCCCCAAAATATGTACTTATCTGTTATCTGTTCATTTCTGGATGCTAAAAGATGGATTGAGAATGACAAATTTATAGTTGCAATCATAGGCGACCGGTGCTGGAGGGGGGGTCTCTGGGGCACCGCCTCCCGTAGAAATTTTTATAGCAAAAAAATTTAATTTAAAATTTAGTTTAATTACATTAAAAAGAAAATGTTAAATCTGTGCAGTCAGTTTAATTCAACTTGTAAAACACGTTTGCAAAACTCTGAATACGTGGGCTTCTCGTAGCTCGCCTCTACATCTGTAAAGCGTTTACAGCGGTGGTCATTGTTACAGTCATGCAGCAGTGATAGACGGAATGGGATAGCGCATATTTACTAGTTTGCGCTCTGTTTAGTCCGACCGTAACCAAATAATATTTATTCATCGCTTTTTTTTCTTAATGAACGTAATTTGTTCATGTGTGGTGTAAAATTGTATTACTTTCATATTGATTTCGTGCGTTTTTTTAAATTGTGCACGTTTAAATTGATTATGGCACTGCTACAAGCTATCTATGAAAAATCAATGGTGCGAGTAATACCAAACTTTAATGAAAAAGTAATTGAAAAGTTTATTTCGGACAAAAGCAGAAGAATGGACTTTGACTATAAACAATAATGTTGAGTACATTTTTCCTCAATTTCAATAGTACTTAAAATAAAACCACCCACTTATATTTATTTTTTTTTTTTTTCAACAACTAAATTTTGCGTCCTCCCTGGTAAGTCAATAACCGGCACTGGTTGCAATAGACTCTTTTAGTGTGACGTCATATATTTAGGCAACCCGCAACAAATTGTCATAGAGATTAAATAAATTAAATAATAACTTGTACAGGATTTAGAAGTATTTAAGAACAACCAACACGTGTTTTGTAAAATAGATACACTAATGTGCTTAAAACTTACAAAAAACGATCTAAAAGAATATTCCTAAATTTGAATAAAATAAAAAAAATAGCCTTATAACGCAGGTGAGATCTTGTAGATATGTCATCGCTGTCATCATTAGCGTATTTTCTCGTTTCGTTTAATCTTGGCATTTTTATTGTTTTTCTTGGTAGTGTGCTGTATCAGTGTATTTATCGAGTGTTTTTTTTTCTTCCAGTGGTTTATTATAGACGTACTCTTAACCATAACCGAACTTTTCTTGAATGATATCCTGTTGAGGCTACTTCGCTTACATAAAATTATCTTTAAAATGCTCAGTAACAGTGATATAATTTTAATGTACCTATTAATTACCTACTATAAAAGTAAATATTGTTCTATAAATTTAAATATATAAATTCTAAAATTCCTTTAATTTGTCACTTAGGGTTTGAAACTTAACTTAAATGTTTCCAATATTGCCAGAATATTGCAATATAAGATCATGACAAAGAAGACATTTTTTTGGCACTTGTGTCCAAAGTACATAAGGTCGAAAATCGATCTAGTGAAAATACTGACAAATTCTTCATGACAATGTGTACTATGGGGTTGACTATTATTTGGTGTTTGTCGTCACTACTAAAAAGGTCTATTAAAAAAGGCCATGTATGACACCTTTCACAAAAAAGAATATTTTGTTAAAATTTAAACTAATAAAAAGTGGTTAAAATTTTATTTTCTATCTAATCTCTTTTAGCCTTATTCTTATATACATACTGCTGTAATACTTCAATGTTAGTTGGGGCATACAGTTCATAGAGTAGTTTTTTTCAACAATATTGCTAGTTAAGAATCTTGTCTACCATATGAGGTTAGATATCTTTTACATAGGTACCCAGATTTTTGGTATTAAAGAACGTTGTTTTTAGAGAAACATTTTGAATTAGCTTTAATATCTCTAAAATAAAGTAAACAACAATTTCATGTTTGACCAAATTTCAGTAAGAAGCGGTATGGCACCTAAGGTTGAAAGAATTACTGAAATTGAAACGGTTGAACTAGGAGAAGGGCCACACTGGGATGCAGAGACCCAGAGTCTTTATTTTGTAGATATTTTTGGAAAGTCTATACACAAATATGTACCAGTAACAAAAAAACACACAAAAGCAGTTATCGGTAAGAAATTTTTGTTCAGCAAACTATACAATTATATCTACCCACTGAATATATTAACCAAAATAATAATATTAAACCTGTATAAAATATAAAAATATTTTTAGCATATTAGCTGTTCAAAAATTCTATGAATATTGTCAAAAATGTTGATATACCTCTTACACCATTGGTTTATGGAACAAAATATCTATAGATATTTTTTTATATTTATATATTTTATATTTAACTTATTTGTTCCTATAAACTTTTTTTTGCGATACATGTAGGAATTACATTTTAATTAAAAACGAATAAATGTTTTTGTTTGATGAGGAACCAATCATGTGTCTCTTATCATCCCTGTTCGAGGAGAGAAAGATAAATTCCTCATCAGTATTGGAAGAGAATTGGCAATTGTGACTTGGGATGGGGAGAGCGAGAAAGTTTCAAATGTGCGTAAATTATTTGAAGTGGACAACGATCCAAACACCATAGACAATAGATTTAATGATGGAAAATGCGATCCCTCAGGACGATTGTGGGCAGGTAATGTATCATCTGATTAAAATCAATAAATCTATTAGGAAAGTTAGACGTCTGGAAATTATTGGAATAAGTATATTTATTTAAAGTATTATTATCAACAAGTCAAATAATTTTCCTAAAAATTCAGTACAAAGTACAGTCGACGCAAGATAAAGGTTTCCAACTGAATCGTATTTTGTTTGAAATATGACGGCTTAACCGCTTGTCTATATGTGGCGTTCCCATCAGACTCGCGCGGTAATATTTTATTTTAAATTTTAAAGTGACAGGTGTCAATATTGTAGGCAGAAAACCGTGATTTAGTTAGGGATTTCAGAGTGATTTATTAGTAATTCGGATAGTGATTAATTAAATAGCGATTAGTTGAGTTGTATTTAGTGATTCTGTAGTGTACAGAGTAGTAAGTGTAAACAGTTTAAAAAAATGGCTCAACTCTCCCCTCGTCGCAGAAGTCGGGTGATTGCAATGCTGGAAAATGGTTGGTCATCAAGAGGTGCTGCCAGAGAACTTCATGTGAGTCACACATGTATAAATAAACTTCATCGTAAATGGGAAATTGAGCTGTCAGTTGATCGTCGACCAGGAACAGGAATCAACAGAAAAACTACCGAAGATCAAGACAGCGTTGGTAGCATACGTGCGAGAAAATCCATTTACAGATATGCGCCACGCAATAGAGGCAACGGGCTTCCCCGGTTGTAAAAAATACAGCTACAGTAAGATTAAAAGAACAAGGACTTTTTAATTATACGGCTCCTAGTAAAGAACTTCTAACAGTCCAGCATCGTAAAAGAAATTACATTCAACAGGGGCAACAGTTTTGGAATAACGTCATATTTTCCGACGAAAAAATATTTCAATCCACCAATTCTGGAAAAGTTAAAGTCTCGCCCAAAAAATCAGCGATTTCATCTCAGATATGTCTGCGAAAGAGCTCGTAGTGGTCGCTTTTCTGTGCCTACTTGGGCATGGATATCAGATGCCGGACCCGCAGTAATTTGGAAGATTGAGGGAAATTTAACAGGCCTTCAGTATCGCACTATATTGTTCGATATCATGGTACCCACACAGGGAATTCATTTTTCAGCACGATAATTCACCAGTGCATACATCAGCTGTAGTTAGGGCATTTATGGAACAGAATAATATAAACGTTCTTCCTTGGCCAGCTAAAAGTCCCGATTTGAACCCGAATGAAAATTTATGGGCTTCTGTAATGCGTCAGTTGAATGAACAGTATGACGATATTCCACCAAATAGAGATACGCTCTGGGAACGTATACAAAATATTTGGAACGGTATAGACGTGAATTATATACGACGCCTTGTT